GGAAAAGATGAGAGATTACGGTGAACCTGGATCCAGCTGGAGAGGACGGCAGAAAATAGAAGAAAGTGGAGATGTGTTATTGAATCTCTGTGTTCCACTCGGAGCCCACTGAAGTAATAGTTAAAATGTTCATTGGTGATATTGTGTGCACAGATAAATGTCAGAAAGGAGCTTATTAGCAGCTTACGTTCCAATCTGTTAATAAAATGGCAACTCATCACCAGCATTATCATTACACATAAATTACTTTTCAAATCACTTCGGTCTTCTCAGTTTGATTTCTTATTCCTTTGTAAAAAGAGGTGAACCGTTACTCTGTGTACAATGCTGAGAATTCCATTCTGTCTGATGATCACTAGCGACTGGCTCTTTTCAGGTAGTTCCCTGGGGATCTTGTGGGAAGCTGTGACCAGTAGGGTAGAGCAGGTCAAAGACGAGGACAGTTACTCATCATCGAAGAAGACATTGCGATATGGTCACGCTATGTTGTGAATTGGCAAAAGTTACAATTCATGGTCTGGCCATTGGATTGGCGGGTCCCAGTGACTTAGTGGTCTACGAGCTCACTCAACTTGTAACTAGGAGTTCCTTGATTCGTGAACTTGTTGTGGGGATGGGTGCTTACTGAGAAGAGTCCCAAACTAGGCTAACGAAACAGCTGACTGTCTAGTACTCTCACTGGGTTTTCCAAGGTTTTCTAACCGATGTCAGCTCTTGGTGAAATACTCCAACCAATGGAACATTGCTGTTTTGAATAAAGTGATCATTATTACCAGCATGTCACTTACAGTGTAAAGCAGATTACATTATCTGATTTCATTATTTTGAAAATAAAACATGTAGTTCATGCAAAGAGTCTCTTCTCGGAGGCGAATTCATTCACTTAGCTCTACAATCGCAATTATGTATCGTTATTTCTGTGTGTGTGCATGTTTGTGTACATTAGACTTGTCCAATAAGTACAAAAATAAGTCAGTGTAATTGCTGTCAAGACATTTCAAAAATTTGATTAGTAATCACAATTGAAGTTAGAATGTTGGTGGGGCGCCGAAGATCAGTGAGAGAGTGCTGGTGATGTGTTGTCAAAATACACAGTTATCAACGTTAATCAACGCATAAAAGAAGTTCAATAAGGATAAAACATCTACGTAATAACATGAATAGTTTACTGAGTGAGTAGTGATTAGGATGCACATAGAAATAAAGGAAAATATGAAATAATGTAAGAGTTCCTTCTATGAATCACAAATGTTATGAGGAGTTAGAGAAGAGAACCAACAAGCAAACAAACATGAAATCAGTAGAAGTCGACACGTTTTTTACCATGATAGTAGAAGTGGTTGGGTGATTTTCTTTTGAATGCATAGCTCTGGCTTCTCCAACTGAATGAATGACTAAGGCTTCAGCAATGCAAACGAGACGAAAGCGTATTTCCTGTGGTAGGTTGTTCTTCACTTTGTAGATCACTTTGAAGCAGGAGGCGTTTGATGAGATGAAATGACCAGTGTTGACGAGATTTTCGAAGATCGCACACCATATACAGCCACCACTACTTTCTTGTAGTCATGCTGTGGGCTAGTGTTCATGAATCCTTTTGGACAGAGTACGCGTCGAATGACCAATGTACCTGGTTGGCTCCACAGCAACATGTGAACTGATATGTGCACACAGAAGTGACTAGATGAGAGATCGTGTGCTCTCGGCTTCTGCAGTTCAATGGACAACTGTAGAGCATCACTCATAGTGTTGCTGCGAAGAATATTGTTTTCGAAGATGCTGAAATTCGTCCCTTGAGGATATCACAAACTGTTAAATTCCGATCATTTAACACAGAATGTATGGAAAGTTACAAAAGAGAACTTTTTCACACCTCTCGAAGTAAATTGTACATGCATGCTACTCTAAGGAGAATGTTCAGAATCTTAGGAGTATGCTCAAAGACTCAAGGATGAACTTGTTTGATGAAGAATCTCTTGATGACACTATCTCCAATGACACATGTTATCTCAAATTTTGTCTTGTCACCTGCTGTCCCAGAGAAATGCTCTTCATCAGATTTGACTGTTTCTCCTCTCCTCAACTTGAAAAGTTTCTCAGGCAAAACGAAAAGTTATATCCAATGAAGGATAACATTGATGTGAAGAGAATTAACATCCTAATCAAGTCTAAAATGCACCGATTGAATTCAATTTATAACGAGATGTTTATATTCTATAAAAATGCTTCTAATATATGGAAACACATCAAAGAAGTTGCTGGCGGTAAGCAGATGAATATCATTCCTTATTCCTTTTATGTGTAAACACTAAACAAGTCTTTCATACATTCTCCCACAAATGTCACACCTTCTAGTGTTACAAGTCCTGATGAAACCTGCTTCCCTGGTTTCAATACAAATGACGTTCTAAAATGTCTCCAGTCGCTGAACACTTCTTGTAGCTTAGGTGCAGATGGTTTGCCTGGTGCTATTCTTAAAATGTGTGCAGATATCCTGTGTTATCCTCTCATGGACAAATTTAACCAATCTTTATCCAGAAATATCATGCAAGCCGTTTGAAAGGACATTAAAATTGTACCCATACCCAAGTCATCTACTGGAACATGTTTTAAGTTCAGACCTGTTGCTGTTACCTCCCCTTTTTTAAAATCGATGGTGAAGTTATTCCTACTCAATCTTTAACCTTATTTGAAAGCCTTTGACGATCACAAACAATTCGCCTATAAACACAGAAAAAGTACTCTACGGGCACCTGCAGTCTTGCATCATCACATTGTCTCCAGTTTAGACAACGGGGTTGAATTTGTTCGCTGCAGCTTCGACTTAGTTACTATCTAGGGACATTTTGTTACAGAAGCTTGCTGAAACTCAAACTGACTGTTGGATTGTCAAATGGCCGAGTTCTTATTTTTCAGGAAGGGAGCAGTACACTGTGTGTCAGGGAAAGTCGTCCACTTCATTGCTCACTGAGGCTGGTGTTTCTCAAGGCTTTGTCTTTTCGCCTTTTCTGTTTCCTTTCTTCTTGTTTGACTTGCCTCACTCTGATGACGGAGTGGACTTTGTTAAGTATGCCGACGATCTAACTATTTACATGTCTGTTATCTCACAGCTACACTGTATGTACTAAGATGAACAGCCTTCTATCAGGAGTTAGCAAATGGTCTTTGCCTAATGCTTGATCTTAAACTAAATCCTTCCAAATGTCAGACAGCTAATTTCAGTTTCCGATGTAAATGAAAGTTAATTGAAGCTGTTAATTTCTACGACCTTTGCGAAATTGATGATATTGATATAGAAATCAAGTCTGAAGTAAAGTATCTTGGAATAATTAATTCTTCTGACTAATCCTGGTCTTCCCATGTCTTAGCGATTTCTAAAAGATTATGTCGTCTGACTTTTTACATCAAGAAGTTAAGGCACTCAGGCATAACCCAACCTCTCCTCTCACAGTTTGTCAACTCGTGCATCTTACCTATTCTTCTTTACTGCTCCATCTTATTCCTTCCCGGATTGCCTAAATTTTTAATATTTAAAAAGACGTAGTGGGTGGCTTGTGGCTGAATATTTTGATGAGTTTTCCCCCAAATTTAAAAAATTTTTTTGCGGACCACCAACACCCACCCACATTTTTCCCAAAAAAAATTTTTTTAACAATTTTTTTAGGTCTTTTAAAAAAAAACTTTATACATATTCGCACGTAGTTTATTTAGAAAAATAATTTTAGTCATGAACTAACTAACTAACCTTCTTTGCACTATTCAATGAAACATTTCCTCCTTCTTTACAACATCAACTTTTATTGTTATTTTACTTCTTATATTTATAATCCTTTAAATTTTGTGTTTCATTTGTTTATTTTTTCATAAGTGTGAATATCATTTAAGCTGTGTTATAACTGTTAATTGCGTATTTCCTCTCACCATACTGTATCAACAGCACATTACATTCAATACTCTATAACATGCTTCAATTCCCAAACTGAATCGACAATACTGTTTGAAACAAACTCACTGTTTTTGTTAGTATTATTACATTTATTATTCTCAATTCTAACTTCAAATATTTTTGACTTAATTTCGTCAATGTGGACAAATTCCTATGCCTAATTTTGTTGTAATTTTTAATTCTTTTTGCATTTTGAGTAAATCAGATACAATCCTGTGGCAAGTACTGAGGAATCTATTCTGTATTGTAAGTACTGTTTTTAGAATAAAGTAGATTATTATTATTATTACCCTGTGTTACATACATACAAAGAATCACATGAAAAATCCGTACACAATACGATAATTGTGACAATATTCATTTCATGTGGGGTGGAATCAATTTGTGAATGAGAATGGAATACGATCTCTCAATATATGTAATTCTGTCAACAATAATCAGTGAAATCGAAATATTTATGTGAAAATACATGTGAATATTCTCAGAAGCAGCGAACCTAGAAACGAGTAGCTACAACCACTAAGTAGATTTCAGTGACATCTCACTTCTTAGTTGCTCACTTAAGGAGGAGTACTGATGTGATGATTTTTACTCTGACTTTGATCATATCCAGTGTACTTTAATCGATAAACGCATATAGCAAAAAAGAATATTTTACTTCAATGGTTAATGAAATTAGTTATTTTGAAAAAAGACAGTTTGTGTTCGTATTACAGAAGACGAATATCAGTGTAAATGTCTGTGCAAGTAATAGCACAATCCATATGAGAAAGGTAAACTATGATTAACATTTTCTCTTGAAGAGGAACTAGAAATCACAAAAATCAAAATTAAAATGAAGATGCCCACAGAGTGACATCGTCCCATTCTACTGTCTGCCAATAAGTATAAGCCAGAAGAAGAATTTCACAAACCAGACTGTTGTTGTGTTTCATTGAAGAAGAATGCCAAACTACTTTCTGACAAGGCGAAAATGAAGATCGTACAAGACCAAATGATGAACGCTGTGGTAAATTCCACGGCACTGAAATCCACCAACCAACCGATCAAGTCGTGATTATTGACACAATTGAACAATAACTACAATATAGAGAAAGAGAAAGATTATTGACAGAGATGAGTGAATACAGGCGATCATCTCAAGTGTACAGCAATTCATATTTAACCGTAGTAAATTAATTATGATTATCTAGCCAATGTGATAGGATTGTTTTCATATGATGAAATATAGACACCTGAGTCAATGAAGAATTATTTACACATTCACTGTCGGCTATCAGATCGAACATGAGCAGATGTCTGCGTGTTGTCAATATTCTAGTGAGAATTCAGTTCAAACCTGAAATAAGACTCCAGTTTCAGAATGACGAGTCAAGTGTGTCATTATTCATTTTATGATTTGCCAGTCTCACATGCACAGTGAGGTTGTTGAAAATCCCTAAATGTGAGTGCGTACGGCTGCTGAGGGACTATGAAATCATTTCGACAACACAATAAGAAGACGTAGTTTATCTGAAACGTGTAATGTATTGGCGCAACACATTTCGGACATTCTGATCACACACGTACTTGTCATACACAGTTTTTATATAATGCAAGAAGACATGAATAATTACAATACAGGTCAAGGTCACAAATGATGGGTAGGGAGACACAAAAGGTGACCTTGTGACCTTGACCTGTATTGTAATTATTCATGTCTTCTTGCATTATATAAAAACTGTGTATGACAAGTACGTGTGTGATCAGAATGTCCGAAATGTGTTGCGCCAATACATTACACGTTTCAGATAAACTACGTCTTCTTATTATGAAATCATTGACAAATATCATTCAATCTAAATAATACAAGGTGCCTAATAATCCAGCCATTTCCTACTTACACAAACACACAACCCGTCTGTGTATAAGACAATCAATTGGAGTGGGTTGTCGTATTATTAACGACTCACATAAATTCGAATCGTGATTACTAAACTCTAATGAAAGAAACGGGACTTTACCATAATTTCAAGTGTAAAAGTTTACAACATCATCTTCTCCAAAAATACACTATCGAAATCGAGGATACGTTGACTTGCTACCTGATGAAATATGAACACAAATCGACTAAGCGATACTGTGATTCACACTGCAATTCTGCGACTATCAAATAACTCATGTGATTCGTGCAGTTTACTCACCAAAATAAACATGGTTGATACACCGATAAAATGACAAACTTACGAAGAGTGGGTATAATATCCAGAAAGCTACTGCCGTAAAGACAATTATCTGCGTGGAAAATATGAGGAGAATGAAATAAATCATCAGGGGAGAGGTACACTCAAGCTTTGTTAATCTATGCAAATTACAACGTTGACATATCTACTGATCTGAGATCTGTGGACACTGACTATTATCGAAACATTCTGACAGTTGAATCACACCTGTCACTGGCAGCATGTGGTGAGGCTAAAATATGCGAATATATGTCATTCACTCAATATAAACAGCCACTGCATCCCTTCACATTTATTATCTGGCAACAGAAATGTCATTATACACTAGGCCACTTCGACTACTGTCGCATCCCTGTTAGTTCAATATATATTCCGTGGGATATGACAGTCACACCAGTGAATTGTTGCCAAACGAGCCAAATTCCATACATATATGTGATAAGGAAATTGACTGTAGATGAGGTTAGGTGCTAATATATCAAATTGCTTATCACTCTTCCAATCAAAATGTAGAATTCGAAGAGAGAGGATGAACGACAAGTGTATCAGGACGAAATGATGCTATTCTTTATCATTTCATGCCTTACCATCAGGTGCCTAAAACCTGATCCATCCAAAAATATGAAGTATACGGAAGATTTCATGTAGTTGTGAGGCGATGATAAACAGTTGTGGATGGGAATTGTTACTGACATTATCCCGGAATGATGTAATCAGTTGAATATGTTCAATATTCGAGAGTGTTGACTATTTAGAGGATGACCAGTAGGATATTCTTGAAACCAAACTCACTGTTAGCTGTTTTGAATGTTAACAATATTTGACATGCATGAAAATATGGATGCAATTGGTTACCTAACTAGCGAAAATGACCTTTCATAAACCAGCAGGTCAGAAGCAGTCAGACTGATTTTGAAATGAGAACGTGGAGTCTTCTGGAGTGAACAAGAGGCGTCAGTGGAGAAACCATGACATGATTGACATTTTACTACTTGGCTTCGTGAGTTTAATGGGCAGGATAAATCAAGGTCTAACACTGGCTATTTTTGAGCACATAGTTTTGATTTGTATTGTTGGATTGAGGAAATTGGAGCAATGATGGTTTCCGCTGGCAGTTTTCGCCTAATATTCTCTAAATACAAATTTCATTATTCGAGGAATTCGTCCCTGATGCTCCCATCAGTTGTTCCTTGTCACCCCACTAGGAGACACTAGGAAGAGACTGTGAAATGATAAGAGCAACGTTAGTCTCAGTGTGAACAGTGTTCATATAATGCACAGATGTTTCAGTGGAAAGCATCGCATAATAGTTTCTACTTGTCCAGGATCTTTAAATACAGTAGTAAGTGACAGTAGATGGTGGGACACATAGCTGTCTGGCTTAAAGCGCAAACCAATTCCTTATGAGATATCTTCCTCGTTTCATTCACGAAATGACGTCATCTCATCATGTTATACTTGCTGTCCCTGCTTCGCTCTTCCTCACGGGAGGAATCAAATGAGATTCCAAACTGTGGAATTGATACTGGAATTCGGATGCAGTGGGATATTTCTGAATGAAGTAAAGATTTTATATCTTTAAACAAATAACATACAAATAATTTATGCATTATAGACACTAATTCATGCAATTACTTGTTGTTGGAAAAACACATAGAAAAGGGTCAAAATGACTCCCACAATCGCCAACGTCCATGCCACAGAGTAAAACACTACCAACCCCTTCCCGTTCATTCGAGGCAAGAGCGAAGCCGTCACAATTATTGGAATTTCCACCACAAGTATACAGGCCAGAGATATGAGTCCAGCTTTCAGTCCAACAGGTGACAAAAGAGCAGCCAATACCACAGACCACATTGCGATCTATGACAAAAGGGAAAGCGAAATAAGAACATGTGATCACACTAGATAGACTCATGTACATATAGAAACACACACATTCACAATGACTACAGAAATACAGTAAATTTTCAACGCTGTATGGATAAACAGATAAGCCACATTCTCATCACTGACGATCAAACAAAAATCAACAATCCGTTAGAAGTTACTGTCATTCGGTGAACTGTGAATCATCCTAGACATGTTGACAAGAGTTAACTCTGCAAACTGCAGTTAGCTGCGCTGGCCGACTAATTACTGCCTGACAACTAGAATGGCTAAGGTTTCAACAGTTGAAAAGATTTTGACCTCATCATCCATCGTTGAGGATGATGACGATGTATTCTAATGAAGTTCTTTGTTGTCAAATAGAATCATAATCTGAATTTCGGAGCTGGCATTACATGTTTTTCTCTTGGATGGAATACATCAAAGGCAGAGTCACTAAAGATGAGTGTAGAACCATTCAAATACCACGCCAAATGACATCCATTCAGTCAAAAACAAGTTAGCGTAAATCCTCACAATTTTTTGCTCGGTTTAAAAGATTACACTTACTACAATTGAAAGCATGATATAGACACCAATTGGTCGTGATCGAACTTTTGGCACGAATGCGAATATCAAGAGCACAAACGAACTGACTCCTCTGAAATGAATTCACAAACATCAACAATTCGTCACAGATATTACACAGTTAATCGGAATTGTGCGTTATTTTGGTTAGTGTATCACAGTTCATAATAATCAAGTTGCATTTACAATAGAAATGGTTTTCACTGTTATGATCTCGGTATATCGACTCCATTCTTCGGTTGCGACGTCAACTTTCCATTTGTCACAGGCTTCATTCGCCCAGTGCGTCATGAAATCACTCGTTCGTTTTCAATGTAGACGGAAATCTGAAGTTTCATGATGTGGTAAACCTCACTGTTTTCTGAGCAACGGAAAACATAAATGCTACGGTACCTGGCTTAATCTCTCTGCTGAGTCGACAAATGAGTGTAAACGAAAGCAAGTCAGAGGAGACTTCTGCATTTGAAATTTTCCTTTTCTCGTGAGCCCTGGAAATGAAGATTAGACAAAGCAACTTTCAGTGGGGTTGTGGTGGAATCGAGAATATTTTATGATCGGTAGAAGAGAAGTTGTCCTTATGAGGAAGCAGTAACACAAATGACAAAATTGCAACTGAATTGTTTAGTATTCTATACAAACTATGATGAATATTTGACTGGACATTAGTCGCCAAAAACAAAACAGAACTCAGATAAATTATTTAAACCTCATCAGTGCCACGGAAATACGTATCACTGAACTCTGTGAAGTAGACGACAATGCAGAGTGAAGGGCCAGTTTGCAAGGAGAAAAAGCTGAAACAAGCAAAATGTCCGAGTTGTTAAACGGGAAATCAAAGTGTCACTGTAAAGATAACCTGCACCAAAATGTTTCCATCGGTGTAGATCTGATGAATTGCAAAATATTTACGAACCAGACCATCCATTATGTCCATCTTTATTACCTACTGACTCTCTAACACACAATGCTTTAACATACACTCCTTGAACACCGAAACCATATGAAATGCAAGGCGTATATTGAGTGTGGAATTTGTATGAATCTGAGAGCAGAACTGCATCGATTTATGTTTAATGAGATGAAATATTTCCAAGTCTTATTCATTCACCATTTGCAGACAGTGTACTATGCGGTCAATGTCATTCAGGGACAGGAGAAATTATGAATTCACTAGAAGCGGGTTCACATCAAACAGTGTTCAAATATAGAGGAGATATCTACACGTGAAACAGATGGTATTATTATGCAACAACCAGTATCGCCATCACTGACCAATCTGTGCATCCACTCATTCAAAACAGCTGCAACTGCGTGAGGCTATGATCACCCGAGATACGTAGATAACACCTTCGGTCATCATTAAATGTAGAGTCCTAGATGAGAACTTTCACGTGAGAAACAACATCCCAAACAGTCTTAAGCTTCAGAAATATGTTGAGCCATATTCACACATAATTTGATGTTTCTTAACTGGTTTGTCTGACGACAACCAGATGATAGACGAAAACTTAATATCATCAGAAAGTCAAGATATTCGGACAGATAGTCTTATGATCATTGTCATTATTATTCGGTGAATCTCTTTATCACCAAAGTGACTGTAGTTAAGACCCGAATTTACTCGGCTGAACAACTATTACCTCGAGTCGAAGTAAGCCACAGAGAGTTGAAATTGGTTGTAAACTGACTTAGGTTGATCCACTGTCCAGTCCTAAGTAGTTCGACGAATGTGGAAAGTGTAAACTAACAACTCAGGCCTCCTCCATGGTTGTTTATAAATAAACTTGGTCCTGTGTGACTAGTTCTACTGACCGTCAAATAAAATACAAAACTTCCCAGTGCATGTCTGAACACAATCAGATGTGGTTATCGAGATAGGACAATGACTCACTTAGATAGAAGCAAATGATTAAATGAATAATCGCTGCGAAGACGTTTATTGAGTGCAGTATTTCTGGAAATCATTTCACAGAACATTAGTAACGCAGAAGTCTTCAGTAGTCATGGACATCACAATAATCAATACCAAGTGTCTAGAATCCAATTAAAGTTTCGTCATGAATATTATTCATATGGTGACATGATGCAAACCATTTGTCAAGATTTTATTCGATAATTTCGCTAAATCTTCTGATCAGCTGATATCTCAAAGTAAGAAGAAGTCATATTTGTAGAAATAATAATGGACAAATAATTTCAATATCTCTGACGACAGATTGGAAATACTGGAAAATACAACATCTAACCTATAAATAATAGGGTGCATCTTGACCCTAATATCGCTTACAAAATCAGTACAAGGAGTTCAGTGGAGAGTCTCTTCTCGATGAATTGACTTTCTTAAGCTGCACAATCGAATTCAGCAAGGTTCTGAACAGTGACAAATGGAAGAATCACAACACACATCCACAGTTGCTATTATTATTTACTGCAAATGAGAAGTCGAATACGGGAGATAGAATTATACAATAATAACAAGTCTATATTTCACACAATATGAGAAAATAGAAAGCATAAGTTTTCAGCCTTTCGAAATATTTTATCTTCCTACAGGATTTCCATGTTAAGTGATAATCTGAAGAATGTCGTGTGATATAGCGTTGTTCTATAGGAAGAGAACACCAACTGTGTACATTTTTGTTCATTTATTTCCTCAGTGAAATGAGCATCCTTCCATTGAAAACTAACTCAATATGTGGACGAGTACATGTAGTGATCATCTGATACAATTGCATGATCATGGCAATCAGAAATACTGTGGAAATTAGTCATTTCAATGGATGGAAAATCTGACAGCCTGTCAATTTGAGCAGGGCACTGTTATAAAATGGTGAGATACGTATTTTAACAGGTGGTTTTAATCAAGATGCATAGAGAAAAACAAAAACAATTTCATGTTACCTATTAGTTCCAGAGGAGAGGTGAGTCAGAAACGGTCAGGCGATTGAAGTAATCAAACATATTTGAATGAAAACAATAGGATTAGCGTTGAGCGATGCATAAATCTGGCTCCACAAGAACAGGTGAACTGACGTGTGTATATAGAAGTGGCCAGATGTGAGATTTCGTCGTTTAGGATCCTTCATACGAGTGGCCAACTGACAAACACCTCTCCTAGCGTTTCTGTGAAGGGACGTCTCTTCGCCGGAAACCGAAATTCCTCTCTTAAGAACATCAACAAGTAGGTTACCGCTTAAGTCAAAGTTCATCTAAAACGTTCATTTCTTGCATGGATTACTTGTTAAGCTTTTGAATTTTTGGCTTGATATTTTCGCGATAAGGCTCGGTGTATGTCAGTTTTAGGAGATTTCTTTCTGAAAAGTCTTATTCTTTTTTCAGAGCATTTGAGCTACAGATGTGTGTGATGCCAGTGGCTAGAGAAATACTTTGGCTCCATTCACGTTCATTTGATATTCAGCTGTGGAAACTTATCAGTTGGCTGTGCAATGTTGCTCTCTTATTGATCGATCTTCCTAAATATCCGTAGGCTCTTCGTGTAAATTCAACCTCATGAAAAGGCATTGAAGATTCATCTTCTACTGAAACAGTGAGCCTTGTTGGTGGACTGCAGCTGTTGAACATGTGTAACACTAGTAATTGTGAGCATAACTATCATCACGGTTAATAAAAATGTCATCCACATTTCCAGGACACAATGAAAACCTATCAATATTTAACTTACGTGGATCATTCCTGTGACTTGTCATGAAACAGGCTGCTTGCAACGAACCCACGTGAGATCTAAATGAAATCCCATATTTTTGTCTGCAGAAGATGTCATTGGCCGTGAATGGAACATAGTATTTCCTTTGTTTCCATGTCCATTCTTATCAAAATTTACATAGTAACTTTTCTTATCTCACTAGGTATTTCTGTCAACCTTATTCAACTTCTTATATGCACTCATTAATATAACCAACCATCTTGTGACGATTCTTCCATCTGTTAACGTTCAAGTTTAGTCGTTCCCTGTGGGTAACCTACTGATGGATCTTTCTTAATGCGACTGTTTAAGCAAAGAAAAGGAATTCATGGAAAAGAGACTCTTCACTGAACTGCTTGTATTGATTTTGTCAACGATATTAGGGCCAAAATGCACCCTATGATTTATACCTTAGACAATTTACCTTCCATCATTTCCAATCTGTCGAGCGAGAGGTTTGAATTATGTATCAATAATTATTTTTACACATATGACTTTTTCTTACGTTTTAATATCAGCTGTTCAGAAGTTTTAGCGAAATTATCGAATAAAATCTTGACAAATGGTTTGCATCATGTCACCATATGAATAATATTCATGGCGAAAATTTAGTTGGATTCTTGACACATGATATTGATTATTGTGATGTCCACTATTGCTGGAGACTTCTCTGTTACAGATTTTCTGCGATCGTGTTTCTACGAATACTCTACTCTTCAAAATACATTCCAGTGATTATTGTATGAACCAATTGTTTTTATATCTATCCTTGGAGCTTAATTACACACTTTACTGAAATTCAAATTTATTAGCAAAATGTCTAATGGATGATCTTAATACAGATTAACACCAGACTCTCCCAGAACTTAAGGCCTTAATATAAATTAGGACTCCCCTTTTCCTGACAATTCAGTAAATACTAATTTAGGTCTCGAGTGTGCTGTGAAGTGGATTACTGCTCTGTATCACAAATGAATTCCACTTGTCAAGGTGTGATGAATTCAATCGAACATTCGATAAATAATGTTGAACAGAGAACTTACAAAATGGTAAATTTTACCCAGGAATCCCTTTTGAAGAATTTCCAAATCACTTCCCTACAACCAAGATAATATTTCATCGGAAAATTTTATGTATTCTTACACGAAAGTAAATAAGAGGACAACACCAGCTGTCACCATTATCATAAGAAGTGTATCTATTAGGATCTAAGAATAAAATTACTCACTCTTCAATACAGTTTCATCTTACCCAAAAGTTGAAACGTGAAGGAGTTCGCTGTAGCCTTTCGTTCTTATATGTGGAATTGTCATACAAATCATAAACGCATAACATTTTTCAATGAGCTGAAATTGATGAAGAAAATTATAGATGACAACGGCGCAGAAGTAACTTAATCACCTCAGAATATACATGATGAAAATGGACACATAGATTAGACTTTCCGAATATGCCAAGCGAAAATATGGTGTGGATATGACTGTCAGATTATTTGAACATAATTCAGATTTCAAAACAATTGAGGCATACACATGCTTGCGAATGTTGACGAGCCGGAGTCCGTGATTGTATGGAAGAGTGTGCTCTAAGACATTCAGTATGTTGAAGAAAATCTCATTTGTCTTTCTCATACACCACATCAACTTTGAGGAAACAGCCTACTGGAGTTTCTCTTCTGCGTCATCAAAGGAAAACTGGTTTCATTTGGCCATATATACAGAGTCAATATATGCATACAAGTATCAGACGGTGACACCTTGCCACAAGACTGGGGAGAATAAATGCGAACATCAGTTTGCTCTATCACACCTCACAGAATTCTGAGTTTATTAGACATCTAGTCATCACACACTAACACATTCCACATTGATTAGATCCATAAAACCCAATTAAATGTGATTGAGAGTTCTTCTTTTATTCATACTCAAGTGAAATATCTCGAACATGATCAAAGTCAGACTAAAATCGTCACCTTACTATTCATATTTGAGCAAACTTAGTAATAAGTCAAACAAACAGACAGCAAATGAGAGAAGAGATGCAGCTGAAATTCACTTACTTGTTGTACCTCCGAGCTTCGAATTTTCGTGCGTTCGAGAATATTCTCACGTATTTTCATATATATACATATACATATATATTTTTGTAATGATTATTGACGCATTTTTACATATTGAAGGATCATAGTCCATTCTCACTCTAAATGTGATTCCACTTCACACAAAATGACTTTTGTCACATAATCGTCTTATTATGCATGTTGTTCTCATGTGGTTGTTTGTATGCACGTATGTATGTAACACATTGTAACAGTAAGCACATTTAGTTATCTGCGAATTCACTCAGGAGGCAAATAAAAATTACTTCATTTGAGATGGCTATTGATCGAAGAACAACGCTTATATCGAATGGAAGAAGCAATTTGTGTCGAAATAATAGAGTTGATTCCTGGTTCATTTAGAGGGTTCTCAACGTAATCGTGTTCTTTGAGCTTGGTCATTTAATTACGTCATTTAATTGATTAAAATGAATAGAAAAGTGAGAACAACCGTAGTTATTCTCGAATTTCTCAAACACTCAAATGGCTCACATCGACTTATAGTAATTTTTCATTCCGAACACGTAGTATGGGTTAACAGTGTTTCTGGTTTATTGAATGATCCCAACAAAACTATGAAAACAACTTTGAATCGAATTCCTCTGTCTCACGGACTTGTCATAATCTGAGTACTTCGTGATAAAATTGGAAAGAAAAAGCTTGAGGCTAAGCAGAGATATCGTTTGGGTGATTTCATTTTCAGAAGTGGGACAATTGCACTTTCATGGATCAATCGGAATATCCAGTATTAACATTATTTGATTGGAAAGAGTGGCCGAGAGTTAGAAATAGAGAGTAGGGAGATTAATACTTATTGACTTGAAATTTACCATCGTCTGTTTTTCAAGGAGGAGTCGGGTGACAAAAAGCTTTGATAATCGCATGGAAATAGAATTCGTTGTTGCATGAGAAGTAAACTCGGAATCATGAAACGAATTGTTGGTGTTTGTGAATTTATTTCGGAGAAGTCGTTTTTCCTGCGTTCCTTCTCTTTGCATTCGGTTCGAAAATTCGATCACGACGAGTTGGTGTCTATGTCATGCTTTCAATTGTAGTAAGTGTCACATTTTAAGCCATACAAGAAATTGTGAGGATTTAGGCTAACTTGTTATTTACTGAATGGATGTCATTTGTGGGGCAATTTGAAGGCGTCTACACCCACGAATACCTCGTCAAAGTGATCATCCGTGGGATTCACATCAGACACTACTTCCATTATTTCTATTATGTGGTATGTTTTTACTAAAACACATGAGAAAGGACCCAAAAACTGAACAAAGTTGTTTCTTATGAACGTAAATCCAGCTGTGGCGTTAACAGGAAGGGTATACTGAGGAACAGCTTGAAAGAATCAATAAACTGGACATCACGAGTAGTTGATTCTACATGACAGACGATAAGAATTTTGACGATCTCCTTCATTCAGACAATTCAGTAAATAAACATCTAAAATAAACTTACTGTATACCAGGAAGCATTCTGAAGGAATGATCTAACTGTGGTCCCGATAAGTTGATTCAACATGACCCAGGATAAGACAATCGACAGTCTACTTCATTCACACCGTGGAATGAATAGATATCTAAAACAGATTGGTGAGAAATCAGATGAAGCGGTTTTTGAACTGAAGTGATATTTACATGTTGACGGACGCGTTTTGGACATCTCTATTCACTCGCCCGTTGATGTTTTCCATCCAACAGTAGGACAGAGAATACCAGCTCCGGAATTCAGATTATGATTCTATTTGAGAAGAAAGAACTTCATTAGAATTTATCGTCATGATCCTCAACGATGGATGATGAGGTCAAAATATTTTCAACTGATGTAGGCTAAGTCATTCTAGTTTTCAGGCAGTGCTAACTGCAGTCAAATCATAAAATGAATAATCACACAATCGACTTGTCATTCTGAAACTGGAATCATCTTTAAGGTGTGAACCGAATTCTCTCTACAATTTTGACAACACGCAGACATCTGCTCATGTATGATCTGAAAGCCGACAGTGAATGTGTAAATAATTCTTTATTGATTCAGGTGTCTATATTTCATCATATGAAAACAGTCCTATCACATTGGCTAGATTATTATAATTAATTTAATACGGTGAAATATGAATTGCTGTACACTTGAGATGATCGCCTGTATTCACTCATCTCTGTCAATAATCTTTCTCTTTCTCTACTTTGTAGTTATTGTTCACTTGTGTCGATAATTACGACGTGATCACTTGGGCGATGGATTTTATTGCCGTAGAATTTACCACAGCGTTCATCATCTGGTTTTGTACGATCAACTTGTTCGGTCTACTCGAAAGTATTTTGGCATTGTTTTTCAAAGAAACAACATACACGGATAATTTGTAAAATGCTTCTTCTTCCAGTTTATCTTCATTGATAGACAGTTGAATAGGACGATGTCACTCTGTAGTCATCTTCAGTTTTATTCTCATTTTTGTGATTTCTTGTTCCCATTGATGACGATATGTTAATCATTGTTTCTCTTTCTCATATGAAGTGTGCTATTACTTGCACAGACATTCACACTGATATTCGTATTCTGTAATACGAACACAAACCGTCTTTTTTCAAAATAACTAATTTCATTAACTACTGAACTAAAATATTCATTTTTGATATGCGTTTATCGATTAAAGTACACTGGATATGATCAAAGTCAGAATGAAAATCATCACATGAGTACTCCTTCTTATGTGTGCAACAAACAAGTTATATATTACTGAAATTCACTTAGCTCTTAGCTGAGAATTTTCGTGCGTTCGAGAATATTCACAACTATTTTTGCATATATACTTCGATTCTTTGATTCATTATTGGTGCAATTTTGCATATTGAGGAATCAAAGTCCATTCTGATTCTCAAATTGATTCCACTCCACATGAAATAACTTTTGTCGCAATTATCGTATTGTGTATGGATTTTTCATGTGATTCTTTGTATGTATGTAACACAGGATAATAATAATATGCTTTATTCCAAAAACAATACTTACAATACAGAATGGAATTCTTAGTATTTCTCACAATATTGCATCTTATTTACTCAAATTATAAATAAAATTAAAAGTTAAAACAAAATGAACCTGAAGAATTTGTCCACATATACGAAATAAAGTCAAAAATATTCGAAGTCCAATTAGAGAATATTGAATATAATAATAGTAATAACAGTGAGTTTGTTTCAAACAGCATTGTCGATTCAGTTTGGAAATTTTAGCATGTTATCGAGTATTGAATGTAACGTGCTGTTGATACAGTACAGTGAGGGGAAATACAAAATTAACAGTTATAACACAGCTTAAATGATGTTCACACTTATGAAAAAGTAAACAAATAAAAACACAAAATTGAGAGGATTATAAATATTAGAAGTACAATAACAATAAAGCTTGATGTTGTAAAGGTGCGTGAAATGGCTTATTTAATAGTGCAAAGAAGGTTAGTTGGTTAGTTCATGCCTAACACTATTTTCATCACATAAAGTGCTTATCAAATATGGTATAGTGGAACTTTATACTTAGACGATCGTGCACAAAGTCTTCTGAAAAGACTTCTTGTTTACCTGAGGAGACACAAGTTTGGAGCTGCTAGTGCTGCTGTGGATGCTCACAGTCTGAAAAAAATACCTTAGAAAATTTGTCGCATGAAATCAAATACCTGTCAATGACCATGTCAACGATATGTCCCGATGGGATAGCACTCGCAATGCTGACAATCTTCAGAGTTCTACGAAGTATGACATAGTCTATTTAAGCAATCCAGGAAGGAATAAGGGTGAGCAGTAAAGAAGAAAAGGTAAGATGCACGAGTTGACAAACTGTAAGAGGAGAGGTTGGGTTATGCCTGAGTGCCTTAACTTCTTAATGTAAAATGTTAGACGAAAGATTCTTTTAAAAATCGCTAAGACATGGGAAGACCAGGATTGGTCAGAAGAAGGAATTATTCCAAGATACTTTACTTCAGACATGATTCCTATTTCGCTGTCATCAATTTTGCAACGGTCTTAGATCATCTCCGTCACAACAAGTCTTACTGAGTGAATGCATTCTTACTCTAGAAACTCCAATCCTCATATTACGATCAGGACTCTGTTCTTCAGACAACAGTTTCATCAATACCTTAATTAAGACACTGGGAGGAATAATCAAGAAAGCAGTATGGCTGTCATCTGGAAAACAGCAGCTTGCTATGCAACACACCTTTGAGCCCCTCCTGGCAAGATAGGACCTGGTCATAGAGAATGACTCTGTGAAACCTGTCAATGTTTTCAGTAAGTGAGGAAGAGTAAGAATCTACTTGAAACTTTCTCTTAAATTATCTAGTTTGGCGTGCCACAAGTTAAGGTACACAGATCACGAGTGCTGACTGCGTACACCGACGAATTAATTAGGCTCACTAAACATCCATGGTTGAATAAGTAAATGACGCAGAGGTTTGCAGAGAGGTGAAGGAGCAAAACGCCACACACAGACAAATCTGAAACATCTGCTGACTTCTTCCCAAGAATGAATGCTTCTCATTATTGCAGGGAGGTGCACGTGGTTTCGCCTTACCACCATGTCCAGAATTTTATGAAGTGATTATGCATCTGATGGAAGTACTGTGAATTATGAAAAGGCTACCGAAACAGTGTGTGCAGAAAACAGTAGACTCCAACCTTTGTCTACCATAGGCTACTTGGATGATTAAAGTATGATTGGTTAATTATGCACACTTTTAATTGTTATATAACTGATTAATTGTCAAACAAGTTGGTTGTAAAGCAATCACGAAGAAATTACGAAGTGATATCATCTCACAGTGTTTGCCTTCTCATTATCATATGTAAATTTATCCAAGGGATTATTTCGAAATCCTGAAATATTGCTCATAAGCGTCTCATATTCCTTTGTAAAGAATGAAGAATGACAGTTAGGTATTTTACAGAAATGACAGTTAGGTTTTGCAGAAGTCACATGCAAACTCAGACTGTTTCGCTTCCTCTGTTTCAATATGTGGAATG